GAATATATTACCTCCTGGCAGCAAATGTGAGAACACGTTGGCGCGACCGACCTTCCTCATCAGTACTGGTGACACTATCAATCAATTCCATTGCCGCATTATTTTGCTGCTGCTGCTGTGTGCTCTGTTGACTGTTAACAAATTTTCAAAAATCACAAGCTAAGAAGTCTAACAAAGTTTCAAATCTACCAAGCATGATACAGTTACAGAATCTTACGGTAAGATCTAGAAAGACACATAAAATAACACGCAGAATCTTACGGTAAGATCTAGAAAGACACGTAAAATAGCACGCAATCTATTCTAATCTAATCTAATCTAATCTACTCTCAATAATCACGTGGATTGCGTGAAAGCGAAAGAATTGACGTTTGGCAATGAAATGTATTAATTGTAGAAATCGAACCTGAGAGGAGTGCTTGCCGGATCGTCGCCTTCTTCGGTTTTTAATTCAGTGAGCAATTCTCTCATCGTGAATGTTCTGTTCTGTTGTAGCTCAGCAGGACGACTCGCATTTTGCTCGTTCGGTTCAGGTTTCTCTGATTCGTTTGATTGGATCTCGGTTTCATTTGGCTCCTCTGCCTCGGGATCTGCACTCGGGACGTGAATTGTTGCTGGTTCTGGTTCTGATTCCGGTGCTGGCTTTGATTCCGGTGCTGCCATTGTCTCTAGCTCCGGATCTTGTTTTTGTTCAGTTGTGGGTTTAGGTTCGAGTCCATTTTTCAATTCGGGTTCTGCGGGAGTCATTGGTGGTGGTTCAAAGGATTTTCTGTTTTGTTGAAGTAAAGTGGAAGGTGGGTTCGGACGGTGGGGGAGAGAGACAGAGGGTGGGGGTGCAATAGAGAAGAGAAGAAAGGGGAAAGAAAATTAGACTATTTTTATATGGGCCTCCAGAATTTTTGGATTTTGTTTGTTTAGGGTGTGGGATTTTAAAAAATTGAAACTAAGCCCAATAGTGATAAACTAGTCGAATATATTCCTCCCTTCTATGGCATCTGTGGCTCACCGAGCGAGGCCGGCCTCTACTTCGAACATGAGAGTAAAATTACCACGACACTCTTCTATTTTAGTTATTTTTTTATTTTATTTTTATTTTTAGTTTTTAAGAAATATAGTTTAAATTTTATATTTATAATTTCATAACATTTTAAATTTACACAAAAAAATATATTTATTTTTATATAAAATTTTTATTATATTTCAATTAATAACTAAAAAATCATTGCAACATTAAAATTACAAAAATAAAAGGTATTAAAAATTAAAAAAAATCTAAGATAGCAACCCTCAAAATCCATCAAAGAAAAAAAAAAGAATAGGAGCCTCCCTTCACTAATTGTTTCCTTTTCGGTCCACCACTGATACTAGATTTTTTTTCAATGTTTATTAATCAATAATACTGGAAACCAGGATTAACATTGCCTGCTCATGAACAATGACCACCAATATATTAATCTTTTACACTAATCAAGCAAACACAGCTTCCCTTCCACTCAAAACCAAACTTGTTTCTCAAATTCTTAGACATTATATTCATCAAACAACTGTAGCACAAAAAAAAAAGAATAGGAGCCTCCCTTCACCAATTGTTTCCTTTTCGGTCCACCACTGACACTAGATTTTTTTTCAATGCTTCTTAATCAATAATACTGGAAATCAGGATTAACATTGTCTGCTCATGAACAATGACCATCAATATATTAATCTCTTAAACTAATCAAGCAAATGCAGCTCCTCTTCCACTTAAAACCAAACTTGTTTCTCAAATTCATAGACATTGTATTCATCAAACAACTCTAGTATCCTTTTCAATTTTCTCCATCATTGTACTTAGCTTCAATCCTCACAACTCATAGCATAATTTGTGATGATTGTCCAGAGAAAACAATATTCACACACACACAAAGCAATCTTCCTTAATTTTTTAATTTTTTCAAGCTTTCACTTCTCCATACCATACTATAACCAATCTCATCTTCATCATGCTCGTATTCTCCTCTATTTTCTCCTCAAATAACCATCATTCCAACACTATTGCAACATTCTTCTCCATAAACAACCACAGCATCTACTCCAACTACTCATAAAACTAACAATAAAAGCTTTGCACTCTATTATTACCAACAAAATAAGATCTAATGACAGAAACAATAGCACACTCCACATGTGGGAGATTAAAATTAAACAAAAAAAAAATATTCCAAGATTTTCATATGCAAACATCAAGTAATTGCTATTTAGTGGGTTCATCTCTACAAGTCAGATAATCTTTTATTTCAACAAAGAAAATGAATATACAAGCTTTTTCAAAGTGTTTTTTTGACATAAAAAATCATAATTATAGATCAAAAAAGCTTATTTTAATTAAATAAATCGAGAATTATTTGTGCCAATATATGTAAAAAAAAAAATATCAGAGAATTATTTGTGCCAATAAATGTAAAAAAAATAATCATTAATGATAACTATAAACTAAATCGGAAAAATTAAAAGATAAATGTAAATCAAGATCTCGCAATATGAGTTATATACCCAATCATGTTTAATAAATTTATTTACTATAATTTTTTATTTGATCAAACAATAATAAAAATAGACACATACATGAAAGCGATTAAATAAAATCAAAGAAAAAATATTATGCATTGTCGCACATATTAGAAAAAAAATATTTTTTTATGTGAAAATCAAGAAAAAGCTAAACAATATTTAATCAAAGACTACACTGAAAAGTTGATAGATAGATTTAGATAAAGATATTTAATCTCAAAACATGTGTCATAGACTTAATTGTATTTAGTAATGCTGTTTATGGAACCAATATCTTATTTAATTAAATGATAATAAAAAAGCAGGCATGTGAAACAACAAGAATAAAATTTGAAGCAATAAACCTTTGTGTTGATCGATCTTCTAGGATTATTTATGGTTTGGGTAATTATAGGACAATAGTAGCATTTTTAGGAATTAATAGAAATCATTAGTGGTTCTCATGATATTTTTAATTTGTGGTGGTTTTTAATTTGTGGTGGTGACTTGATATATGAAGTGAATCGTGTAAAAACAATAACAATCACATGAGCTTGAGTAATAAGCACTAAGATATTCAAAGCAAAAGTCATGAGAATATCCTGGGTAAAAACCTACCAAAGAAACCTTGCTTAAAGTTTGACTTATGATTATAAATTTAAGATTTTTTATTCATGTTTTTAAGATAATATAGGTGATAGAAGTCTGAAAATTAGGTGATGGGGATTAACAACTATAAAACATGAAAGCTCATTAGCTATTTATGTTATAAAAACCATAAAAAAAAATGATTATAGTTTTGTTTAGCTGGTTTGAACTAAGCTCGGTTGTTAGAAGTCAATAATGAAGAACTTTTTATATATATGTTAAGCCAAATAATCATTTTAAAAGTAAATCATGCTTATGGAAGTTGACACCGTTTAAGCAAGAAGTGTTGATGTTTGATCCATGAGAAAATGTGGTATGAAAGCTTTCTCTTCTTTCTTTAAACAAAGTTTGGATATAAAATGTTATGTTTACCAATGCTCTTAAATTCTAAAAATGTCAATTTTCTGGATTTCCAGTCCATTATTATGGTTAGAAAACATTCTTGTCCTTTGATTGGGAAAATATGACAATTTCAAGTTTTTATAATTTAAGGATTTTATTTTTTAGATGTCATGTTTAACTTGAAAATATATGTTCTGGAGACTTAAAATTCACTTCTTTAAAGTTTCTTTGTGCTTTAATTTAAATAGCATATGCTCTATTTGCTTTATTCATTAAAGTGTTTACTAAATATCCTCAATTACAATAAACATATTTACTAAATATCCTCAATTACAATAAACACAAAGGATCATGGATTATATGCATGTTTTATTAGCCTAAATGAATCATGAATGAATAAGAAGATGTTTAAAACCTCTTCTTTTAGGGTTTGGTTTGTTTATCCAGATTTGTTGATTAGAAAAGGATTAGCTTAATCAAAATTTTGAGTTTTTGATTTATCTTAGACTTTATCGAAATTAAATCTTGTTTTTAAAAGAAAGAAATCAAAAAAATAGACAAAATCATATATTTTTAAATATTAACATCAATTTTTTTATAAATCAACAAAATCACTTATTTTTAGGGATCAATGTCCAAATTTTCTTAAAATAGAAGAAATCATCTATTTTTAGGAATTAATATCAAAATTCTCCTTTATCGACAAGTCTTTTATTCTTAGAGATTGATGTTATTTTTTAAAATAAATCATGAATAAGCTTAGAAATGAATTTAGACAATTAATAATATGCATAAAATAAATTTAGGATAAAACACATGATAAATATAACCTTTTTGTTTGAAAGGATATGATAAAAGCGACGTCAATCTTTCCTTAAATACAACCAACCCACTACATGAAACTATGAAACTAATGTCTATTTTAGAACTCCTAGTTTTTTTTTTAATTATTACATGGTGATTACATATTTTTATTTTTCCTTTTAATTTTAATGAGATTCGTATTTGTTATGGTGTGACAATGCAGATAGTTTAGAAGATGTTTTTATAGATCAATGAGATATGATTAAATTTTAAAAAAGATTTGGTTATGCCAAACCACTGTATTAGTGATAAAAAATTATAACTTTCTATCTAACTATTAAATTAAGCTCTGACAATTTTTCTAAGAGATAGATTTTATGTCAAATTATGTTTTTTACTTTTGTCTTAGTGAAGCAAACTTCAATTGAGTTTAATTCAGAAATAAAACTAAGGGTTCTGTTGTGATAATCCTATTTTGCTGCCAAAACTCTCGTCTTTCTTGTTTTGTTACTATCCTTATCACGCTTCCGTCTGCGTCACCCAAGATCCACATGACCAACAATCTTGGGCAAGAAGTGATCCCCAGGCATTCATAAAGAGGCTAAGCATTGAGCTTAATTGTATGCCCGTATCTTTGGAAACGAAAGATACAAAAACTGCAAAGAAAAGGAGCCAAGTTGAAAAGGAAGATCAAAATGCTAAACTTGCATTGATGCCACTATCAATCACGAAGAGTGCGGGCACAGCATTCAGAATTCCATAATTTACCCCGTTAAACAAATTGCCTTTCAGTTGCTTTTGTTTCAAGCTAGGAGTTGAAGTGATCCGGAGATCCCTTATTTTTGAAGGGATCTGCGCACAGCAACAAGGACAAAATGGAAATCTACGCAGAGCAAGAGAAAAAGGAAGAATTATTCTTAAATCTTGTCGTGCAGGTTGACCACCAAGTCATGTGCGTCATCGAGAAGCTTCCATACATCCAGCTGACCGGCCATGCTATTGCATTCTCTCATGATCTCATCCATACTGCTGTACTTCTCAATAATCAGTTTCCTCCTCTGCAGCACACAAGCTGCTATTGCATAAAGCAGCAAATCATCACTAGGAGGGGCCCTTAGCCTCATCCTCCCCCAGGCAGACTGGGCAATCCCTGCCCGTATTGCTGCCTGGTCCGCCCACATCACCTCCCAGAGGCAGAGTGTTTGATCAAGGTTTAACTCCCTTCTGCAAAGGACTACCACCATTCTGTACACAAAGAAGCAGTCTTCCGCTTGAAGCTTCTCCAGGTGCTTGTAGAGATGGCTATCCTTGCACTTGATTATCTTGGAAACAAGACCCAGTTGCCTCCGGATTCCCACTTCATCGAGACGGAAATTGTGCCGGGCTTTCTTCATGAAGCCCACAAAACACCAGAAGGCTAAAAAATCCTCCTCCATCACTGCAATAATGGGTGAGAGTAAATCGCTCATTCCTTGACAGTAACCAATCTCAGGATCATAAAGTGCATATGCCTCAAGGATAGTGACAAGGCGAGCAGCATGAAAGATCCTGCTTGGCTCCAAGTGATCATAGTCCTGCAACCCTACACTCCCAGCCAATCGCCGTGCCTTCATCCCTGATACTGCTGCTTGAGATGGAGAGTACATTATCCATTCACCATTTGCCCGCACTGCATCAACACGCATGATTCTCTGCCATGTGGCAAAATCCTCATCTTTCTGCAAGTTCAACCTGCTCTTTGTCTCAAAGGGAGAGGAATTCTCCTGAGAAGGCAAATCAAAATCATTTTCACCTATAAATTCAGTTGCAAGAAAAGATTCTGCAATTTCTGGTTCTTCAGAGGAATCGGAATCAGTTGACTCCGTGTCTCCAGCCAAGCCATCTTCATAGGTGACCGCACTCTTATCATCACCTCCTTCCAATATTGATTCAGAGCCCTGAGGAGCTTCATCAGGGAAATCTGAATCCTCAGCAGAAGGTGTCCTCCTGGTACCATTAACATCTTCTAATCCAGGAAAATCCACAACTTGACTCGAGTCCCCGCTAACCTCAGCGCTGCTGATTCCAACAGCTTGCTTGGCCTTAAAACTCCTATCATTGCATCTGAGATGTCTTCTGCACTTTTTCCGTAGATTCTCATATTCTTTTCTGCAGTGCAAATATATATAAGAACCATGATTTCAAGGAATTTGGAAAAGAAAGCATTCATCCATAACTAAAAACTGTACAGGAAGAGTTATGATACCTTTTCTCATCTTGAATGCAATCTCTTTCTTCCTTGGAACTGTTCACATCATAGCTGTTGAAAAGAACTCAAAATCAATACCAAGAGCAGTGCTCATACATCATCACAATAAATGAACACAAAACAAAAAGGAAAAGCTTCCTAGGATGGACAATCAGAAAAATGATAGCGTATAATGCAAGCACACATTCCAAATAGGAAAATTATAAATGTCAAGGACATTGCTATGAGTAAAGCATTTAGCAAATGCGTCGCCAACAATCACATCGTTCCTGGCCTACCTTTCTTGATTTTGCCCAAAAAACTCAATGACAAAATGCACTGATGGAAAGTTGCTACTTTGCTCGGTTATAAATATACCCTCAGAAAGCAAACTCAAGTAAATAAGAGACCTAAATTAAAAAAAATTAAAAAAATAGCTGGTATATAAATACTAAGAAAATCAAATACAAACTGCCACTTAAAACAGAACTTACATTCCAAGGAGAAATGGCCAAACCTCTGGTCTAATACTTGGATCAACACCCTGCATTAGAGTTTAAGAAAAATTAACACTCCTTCAGCAGTTAGAAATACAGAATCAGAAATATAAATAATAACAACAACATAAGACTAAATGAATAACTAAACAAAACAGTGAAAATATCAGTCACAGTAGAGACTGCAACATACCCCACTTCGGGCTTTCTTCAGAAACTTGACACCACCATCACACAATTTCCCATCAGGCATAAATAAACTTTTCCATTGCTTTGGTAAAAGCGCATGTTTTCTTCTCCTACGCGACCAAGGCGATTTAAGACTACCCCTGAACCAAAAAAGAAGAAGAAGAAGAAGAAACAAAAGATCAGTTATTCAATGATAATCATCTACAAAAAAAAAATTCCCAAACCACCGATTACAACTCAAAATTCTTTTTTTCCCATATGGCATCCAAAGATACTATTAACGATTTGCTTCCACTACCTTCTTAAATGGGAGTCTACATTGAACAACTAATTCTATGAGGGACAGTATTCTTCCACGAGGCCTAAACACTTTCGAATTTATTCTTTAATTGCACATCGAAGATTCAAGAACTGTTCCGAAATTCTAATAACAAGACAGCAATAGGCAAGTAAAAGAAACAGGAAGAATAAGAAACTAGCTTGATGAAATAACATAGAGCGCAAAGCTGGTCATTTTTAGACGACTAAGAGATTGGATTTGGGGGGAAAAAACGAAAATTTCACAGAAAGGAATTGAAGAACTCACCGATTAGTAGAAGCTGGTGAGGAGGAAGATGATGGGGACAACGAAGAGGAGGCAACTACTAATAAAACTGATCTCAACAATATCCACGATGACGATGACGATGACGATGACGGTGAGGAGGAGGAGTTTGACGTCGACGAAGATGTGGAAAAAGGAGTATGGCTTCGCCTTAAGGCTCTCATTAACGGTTTCTGTTGCATCAACATCTAAATATATCTATCTAGGGTTTCTTTGGCGGCGGTTAATCTAAGTTTTGAATTAGAGTGTCAAGTATTCGAACACTTGGAGGTTTTTTTATTGTTGACTTTGTTCTTTTACCTACGAGAATAGACGACGGTGGCGGCCAAGGCGATACCGGCCATGGCCGTGACAGCGATGGCTATACCAACATTGGAAGAAGACGTAGCGGAGCCCCATAAACCACCGCCACCGCCACCAACGACCCAGCCGTTCCTCCCTGTCGCAGTGTTTCCGGTGCTAGCTTCGGCGAACACGATCCATTTCCAAAAAGCACCGCCGCCGGCGGAGGAGGAGAAGAGCATCAACAGTGAAATGACGGTGATGACCTTAAGGGATGGTGGTAATAGGAGTCCCGGCTTTTGATTCGATAACACCATCACCAAAGCGAGGAGACTCTTAAGGCCTCAAGGCCTCTCTCTCTCAAAGTGTTTTTTTTTTTTCCTTATTTTATTCTCTCGATATTTTAATTGCTTTTTCAGTGCTCAGCTCTCTTTTTCATGAAAGGAAGTAAATAATTATAGGCAGTGTTTTTATAATCGTTGATTTTTTTTAAAATGTTTTTTATTTAAAGATATATTAAAAAATTATTTTTAACATTAATATATTAAAATAATTTAAAATAAATAAACCAATAAAACAATATAATATCAATAAATAAAAATATAAATATATTAAAATAATTTAAAATAAATAAACCAATAAAACAATATAATATCAATAAATAAAAATATACTCTCTCTCTCTCTGCCAACAAACTCTCTCTACATCTTTCTCTACTTCAACAAACTCTTTATTGGTGTAAAAATGATATTGGTGTTTTGACTTAATATCCAAATATTAGAAAGAAGGACTATCCATTGATGAATTAAAATTAGTCACAGAACTTGAAGATGAGTTTTCATTAGTTTAACATTTTGTTTTGGTATAAAATAAAATAAAATGAAAACCAGCAATTGAAATCAAAGTTGTAAGCTTTTTCCTGTTTATTAATTATAAAGAGCGAATTGGAGGAAGAATCATGGTTGAAACTCCTCATCTGTTTTATTATTTTTTATTAGGTTCTTGAATCTCTTAATTAAGCATATTTAATAAAATAGTGGTTGATAATAGCGAGTGGTGGTGGTGGTTAACGGGTGATGAAAAGTTATGACGGGGTGTTGATAAAATAGTAATTATATTAATAATAAAATGATGTTTAGAGCGGTAGTTATGGCATGGTGGTGTGATGATGACAACTGACAATAATTATAATAATATTATTGAATATTATAGTTTAGTATTGTGAAAATATATTTTCTTCACGAGATTAAAATAAAAGATTGATGGTTAAGTAATCCTTCTTCTTTTTTCCAATTTCCAGGTGTACTTATGAGAGCACGCCAAACCATGATCTATGCTGGTCATTATCACACAAGATTTACAACGATGCTGGCGGGTATAAGACACAGAGGCATGTGCTGGTCTGGTGACTATCACCTGTGGAAGGATCTCATTTGGGGATTTAGGTGGCATCATCACTAGCGAGGACTGCCTGAGAATCATTTTTACCCTCTTGCTGCGTGGACTATACGTGGCATCTGTTTTGCACGAGACAACACTGTTCGATTTAGTGCTTCCATTTTTATTTATGCATGGGTTTGATTTTCTCGCCGGAGCGTTTAACGGAGGACGTCCTCTCCATCCTAAACATGTTAGCAAAAAGAAAAAGGAAGGAAAGATGGAAAACCCAGCATAAAAACTGGAGTCAAAGACAAGTAAGTAATTATGTTCATGGTAGGGCAAAATGAAAGGTGGATTCTAGCACCCATGGCACCACAAAATAGGTGGAGGAAAGGAAGGAGAGAGGCCGTGGGGGAGACAATGACACCCCTTTATGCCGGACCACATGCCTTTGCTTTGCCCTGCACTCCAGTGTAAAAGAAGTCACATGGATGGAGCTTTATTTTTGTTCTTTTCAATATACATCGCATCTAAACATACATTGCTCTTTATATATATATTTGCTAACTTATGCCATCTTATAACATGTTATTCTTAATTATTAAATATTAAGTAAACATTAAGAGCATTTCAATCTCAATAGTGATCATAGATCTAATTATCATAATTACATGTGTTTATTTAGTATTTTAGTATTGTAATAATTGTTATTTCTTAAATTATTTTTTATTTTGAAATGCATTAAATAATATTTATTTATTTATTTATTTTAGTGTCGACCTGAAATGCATTAAATAATATTTATTTATTTTAGTGTCGACTAATCAAAACAATTAAAAATATATATATTATTTTAAAAAAATCAAATTTGTTTTAAAAACTATTTGGTTTTGCGTTCATTGTCAATGTCTTCTAAGAAAAAGAATAAAGAGTTAGGCCACCATCACCCAACGGGTCCACCGGTAGTTATGGGCTGGGCCTACATCTAATCATGATGTTTGCAAAAGTCATTGACCCTGATCCCAGTTTCTAAATATCAAGAATCAACTGAATTTCTATCTGCGAGAGAAATCAACAAGAAAATTTGTCCAACAACGAAGGACACAGACCTGAGAAATCGAAACAAGTTACGTTCACTGCCATGTTTAAAAAGAACAGCTTCGTGTGATGAAGCCAACAGTCAACAGAGTCCCTTGATCACTAGCCTGGCCGGAAAATGAGAAAGAAACTCAAATTCCGTTTATGTTGCCTGAATAACAAGAAAGATGAAACGTAGCTTCTAATGGACTCATGAACTCCACGGTATTGCTTTCAGGCCCTCCCCGTGGCCACTACTCACCAGCCTTCAACCCATTACCTTACGAACATGTGAAGAGCATTTACAGACCTAATTACATTTTGCAGGTGAAATCCTCAAGAATTAGGAGTACAGACTCCAGGTCAGTGGTTGTTGTGGTAGCTTTGATTCAAATGATTATGTTTGGAGTACAATTATGGGCGTTAATGAATATAATTGGTGATGAGAATTTATTTTAATTAAATAAATTATGAGTGGATGTTAAACTAATTTTATATAATTCTTAGTTTTTTTAAATTTAATTCTTGATTTAACGTGGTTAATTGAATATTGATAATAATAGTAATATTTTCTTAGCCATTCAGCTTCTAAAATTTATTATAAAAAAAAGATAAATAAAGAGTTTTTAACTTAAGTTTTTTCATATTTTACATACTTACTATTCCTCGTCTTATTTTTAATATTTTTTATATATATACTTTGATTTTTTTTCTTAAATTTAAAGTTTAAATTCATCTTATTAAAAAAATTTAAGTTACATAATTTTTGGTTCACAATTTTTATTTAAAAATGCTTTTGGACCAAGATACTGTTGTTATAATCTTGGAGGCATATTAAAAACATCATAGTTATAAAAAAAAAAAGAGTAATAAGTTTTTAAGGATAAAACATTTATTATTGATAACAAGGAAAAACTCATTACTTTAAAATGTTTTAATAATCAAGGGCTCTTCTTATTTAATTTAAATATAATTAATTTTATTAATAGTATGCCCACTAAGATTTTTTTTTTATATCAATTAAAAATTTGAATACATGTTTAGCATACATGTTAGTATTCTATTTTTATTTTTGTATGGAAAACATATTTATTATTAGTTATGTTTTTATATACTTATAGTTTTAAATAGGTATAAATTCTATTTTCTTGTTAAATATTTTTTATTTAGTATATTTTTTTTATGGTAAACTAATTATATATATATATATATAGGGTTTTGATTTTTTTTTTAAATTAGAAATTGTTAGTTCTAGTAAAATAATAGTTAGAAGCGTTCAAGGTTAGACATTGAGAATAAAAGATAAGACACTAAACAAAAAGAAAGTAAAAGAAAATCCATACAAATTTTCTCTAAAATACAAAGCTGGGTAATTAAAATTCATGTCCCAATCTGTTATATTTATTTTATTTTTTTATCTGAATCGGATAATACAAATAATATTATTGATTAGTTAATATTTTTTAACACCTATAAGCACAGTCGTAGTCCAATGGGCCCATTTTATTTCTCTGACAAATCGTTCTGGGCTAAAAACGCTCGCTTAACATTACAGGACCCGCTTGGCGGTTCATGAATTGAAGTACTAGACAGCCTTTGCAGCAAGAGATTGCCGAGCTTAAAAGGGCAAGTCTATTAATTCATAATTTAACCTTCAGTTATGGGCCTATTTGACCTTACATAGCTGTTCTGTGCTGTGTTTCGCTATAAAATTATAAATAGTAAACGGTTTAATAATGATTTGTTATGTCATAACATAGTAAGATTATATAAATTATCATCATCATTATATAAATTAAATATTTTTAAGAAACTAATTGAATTGTTTAAGAAATGATTTAAAAAAACATATACATATCATAAAAAATGTAAACACAAAAGAAATAATAATCATATTACATGGTTTTTTTAGAAAATATAACTACTGAATAATTTAATTTAGATGCACAAAAGCTGAATTTTAATACACTTAAATACAACTATTAAAGCTAGTTAATTCTAAAACATTTAAGAATATAAACTCTGTAATTAAATATTAGTTAATCACTGTGTACAACAAAAATGACTGACGTTGTTTAATTTTAAAATATTTAAAAGTCATTTTTATTTTTTCAATAAATAAATAACGTTTCATTTAAAAAAATCACTTTACATGCTTTTGGAGGTGAAGGTTAATATACTTTTAATTAAACCCTTAACCGATATTGACCATGCTTAATTTAATATTTATTTTGTAAGAGAATATTTTCTTTTCTCACCAATATTTTCATATTATCTATTATCTATTTACTTTTTATTTTTATTTTTTTCTATTTCTTGAAACAAAACAAATTGAAAGGACCATGAATACGGTAAAAAGGATCAAATTACAAATGCATTTAAAAACATAGGGACTATTTAATTATTTTTAAAATTATCTTATGAAGCATAGTCGACTTCTTTGCTGCGGGGTAAAGATTTTGACGATGCCATCCTTTTCCCAGACTTGCCCTGCTAACATCACCTGGGAATTTGGTTTTCTTCATCACTGATCTTCCTTGCCAGATTTTGGGATCATCAATTTGCAAGTGGGGAAAAGGTGAAAAAGCAAATGACAGCTGAAAAGCATGGAATAAATTCCGATGAATTAAATGAAACCTTCTTTGCTCGATTGGAAAAATTGAGTCCTTTATTTAGTGATACTCAACCATCCACCCATGAAAGCATAAAGTTAGATTCCTGCAAACTACGGATTGGTCTAGCGGTGGAAGGAGCTTGTCTCTTTCCATTGCACCTGATTTCGAGCCCTAGCGTGCATGCCTGTCACCCCCGCGGTGCCTTACATGCTTACTGGGTTTGCAGGATATTCAGTGGGTCGTGGGGATTAGTCGTGATACGTGCAAGCTGGCCCGGACCCCCCACGTAAAACAAAAAAAAAAAAAAAGTTAGATTCCTAACTATCTAAGTGGTGGCAAAGTGGTAAGAACTTGGAATCAAGGGATTTGCTTTTTCTGTGGTCTTAGATTCAAATCCTTGGTTGTTTATATGATGGCCACTGGAAGCTTATATGGTCGTTAACTTCAGGGCCCGTGGGATTAGTCGTGATGCGCGCAAGCTGACCCGAACACCCACGTTAATCTAAAAAAAAAAAAAAGTTAGATTCCTTTCCGAATCATTTAATTTATATTTTAAATAACTCTAAAGTTTATAAAATTAATATATATATATATATGTATATATAAGTTATAAAATTAATTAAAAGTATTCATATTAATATTAAAATTAATTAAGATATATACAAGTTAATTAAAGTATTCATATTAATATTTTTTTTTAATCAAAGTTTATCAAAGTGAGGATATTTTAAAGAATGTGGTTTATTTGTATTTCAAAAAAATATTGATTTTTTTATTTTAAATTATTTTAATATATTAAAATAAAAAATAAATAAGCATAACATTACACTATTGTCTTTATTTTCTTCAATAAAAAATCAAATTAGACACAGAGCAACACATGAACATTTATGGAATTAAAATAATTTTTTTCTTCCTTCAACTATTAGAGCCCAGAAGTTCATTAGCCCCTGCTGGAGGTTCAATTAATGTTTTTAAAATATAAAAAAGTATTAAGAGTGCAAAGAATTTCTTTATATTATTATTAATCCTAACTAAGTTGGCTAATTTTAAAATATGTAAGACTTGACTTTTATTTAATTTGAATTTTTAATTAAATTATGTGGAAATTGACTTAATTTAAATCAATGAATTTCACGAGTTGAAAAACAATCTTGATAATTAATAAAAACACAATATAATTATTTAAAAAAAATTAAAAATAATAATTTTTTTTAATTATATAAGGAAAATAATATTATAAAAAAATCAAGTTAAACCTAAATTACCTAAGCAAACAAGACAAAATAAAAAAAAATTGTAAAGTTAAATTCTCAAAAATTCTAATTTCAAAAGATAAAATAAAAAAATAAATTTGAAAAAAACTATTCATAACATTTAAAAAAAAAATATGAAACATTTCATAGTAAATAATGGTTTCACATTACTCTTTAATTTTTGTTATTTTATAAAGTTTAATAATATTATTATTTTTTTAAAACTAATTCTTAAGTTACATGAGAAAAAATAAATTATAAGAAAATCAAATTTAATTAAAAAAACTCTAATCACAAAAAAAAAAGATTATCTAGAAAAATATAAAAAGCATAATAATCTAAAAAAAGATACAAAGTAATTTTTTAATCATTCCAATATTAAAAAAATAAAAAAAACAGTTTGGAAAAATCTTAATAAAAAAATTAAATAAAAGAAAAAAATCATGTATTAAAAAAAAGTCAATGTGGGGAAAACTGTAGTAATCTACCCTGTTCTGGAAAGAAAGCTAAGTATTTTTTCCACGTAATTTAGTTTGGTCAACAATAATAATAATTAATGTGATGTGAGTTATTAACAATTAGGTGAACTATAACATCAACCTCCAGCCAACTACACGTCCTTTCCTCTTCATTTATCTATACCCCAACGCCACTTATAAAACTCTAAAACGCACAGCCAATTCTTGATAAAAATGGCAGGCTTGATCAGGTCGAAAGAAGATGAACGTGCAGGGGCAGAAATTGTGTATGGTCCTGAAGAGTGTCATCGCCACTCCATAGAGCTTCTTGAAGAGCTAGGATTCCCTAAAGGTGTCCTCCCTCTGAAAGATCTTGAAGAGTGTGGGAGGGTTAAAGAAACCGGGTTTGTGTGGATGAAACAAAAGGCTCCTTATGAGCACTTCTTTGTTGGATCCAACACAAGAGTAAGTTATGCCACGGAGGTGACTGCTTATGTAGAGAAGTTCAAGATGAAGAAAATGACTGGGATTAAGAGCAAGCAGATGTTCTTATGGGTACCAATATCTGAAATGAGCATCGAAGATCCTTCGAGCAAGAAAATTCTCTTCAAGACTCCAATGGGGATTGGCAAGTCTTTCCCTGTCTCTGCTTTCATGACTGATGAGGAGAAGCAGGAGCAGCAGGAAAAGCTGGAGGAAGTCCATGAATGAAATCTAGTCCATCAATTCTTTTAACTGCTGTAGTCTTTCATTATGTTCATCAATAAACACGCTGCTCTTCAAGTTTCCATGATTTTTTTTCATGTCGTTTCTTACCTCAAGAAAAAAAATCGTATTGTGCGATCTCAGTTATTTCTTTCATGTCGTTTTAATCAATTCTTTAAGTTAATTCAGGGATTGATGAACTTCAAACCAGACTGGGTTTTTCACGGCTGCGCCTTGGGTTATTGGATAGATTTGGTTAAATTAACTACTAGTTGTGAGGTAACGGGACGACACCATGAGCTTTCTTACAAAAACAAGTCTTAGAATATAGGACCTTTGATATCCAAGTTAATAAACATAGGAAGACAATCCTACACGAGAGCAAAAGGTGTGAGAGAAAGAGCACGAGGTGTGAGGAGATGGTCATGATTGTGAATAGGTGCTCAAGTGATCACGGTATGAGGAGGTGCTTACGGTGTTAAGAAGTTGTGGCCAAGCGGTGTTAACTAGAAAGTGATGGTGATAAGAGGCAGTAATGATCACGAAGTGGTAGCGATCATAACGTGCTGAACAGTAGGCGGCGGTGATCGGGACTCGGGAGGTAGCACTGACAAGAGGTGGTAGTTATCATGAAATGAAAGTGACCAGAAGGTGGCAATAACCATGAGGTGGTGTCCAGGAGAGCGAGGAGTGGCGAATGAACCTTGAGATTGTTCTTCAATGGTTTTAATCTAAACTGTTTAGACCCAAAATATTAAAATATTTATAAACCTTGGCTATATAATAGACTTATCTCATTGAGATTAGTATAATGATGGAAAGTTGCCTTATAGTAATAAGTAGAGAAAAATGAGTTGTTGGTCATTGTTTCATTGGTAAAGAAGTTAATGTTTGTTTTTGATCATGGTGGCTCCTTATGCTATTAATGGAGAGGTTCGTGGCTAATAAGTGCTATTTTATGGCAAGAAAAGATAGGGTATCATACTAAGGAGGCAAGTTGAGAAGAGTGAGCTTGTTAGTTAGTATTGTGATGTATGCTGGTAGCTGGGAATAATTGGTCAAGGTCGAAAAGCATGGCGGACAACCAGCTTGGGCTTGATTAGAGTATCTTCGATGGGTGTGAAAGTTAAATATTAAAAAATATTATTTTAATTCTTTCATGCTTATTTTATGCATTTCCAAAAAAAAAAACATAAAATACTAAAATATATTTTCTCTATGCTATTTTAATATATTTTTTAAAAAAATCAAAACCAATAAAATAAGATTACTAAAAAAATAAATCAATTAATTATAATAATATAGAAAAAAAATATCAAATTTATTAAAAAAATTATACACTTGTTTTTCACTCGAATATAATTAACTTTTCAAATGATTTTTTTATTGGACTATATATATAATAAAAAAAGTTATATTTATATCATTTTAATAACAAAAATAAACATTTTTTTTTAAAAAAACATAATAATCTCGTACAAAATAAAAATAAATTATAAAACTCCCTAAACCAAAACTGAACAGATAAAAATACTTATTTCTTAAAAAAAAAAAAATACTCTTGCATAACTAAAAGGGTAAACTTCGAAAATTGATTATATATGTTTTCCCCACCTATAATCTCAACCACTCAATTTGAATATTCTGTCCCATCCAATGACACCTGCTCCTCTGCATCGCTCACCATACAGTCCACCTTCAACAAGCTCCCATTTAACCACCAAAATGGCCAAACTCTCTTTAACCCCCATATCCACACTCATCTCCCCTGTCCGTCGCCACCGTCGACCGCACTCCTCCCTCCAACCCGCCGCCGCCGCCACCAACACCATGCCTGACCAGCACACTCCCCACCCTTCCCTCGAGATAATCGGTGGCGCGCGTGACCTCTTTCTTCCAGCCTTCAATTCTTTGCACCGTCCTTACACTCCTTTCCCTCTTCTCGGAAATAACCGTCACGTCGAAACCATTTTTGCTTCATTCTTTCGTGCCACCCCTGATGCCAGGCTTACACGTGAGTGCCTCCGTACAAAAGATGATGGTACTGTCGCTCTTGATTGGGTCTCCGGTGACCACCAAATCTTGCCACCAAATTCTCCTGTTCTCATTTTACTGGTCTGTGTGAATTTATTATCAAGCTTCTTAAACTGTGTTTTTAATTTTTCTGTGGATAGATTTTCTGGATAGATTCTGTTTATGTATACCAGCAGTTGCCTTTTTTAGCTTATAATTGATGACGAGGTGAGAAGTTCGTGATTTTTTTTTTGACCTTTTGATATAATCATCAAAACCATCAGAAAACATTCGAACAAAAAACTGAAAAGTCACATTAAAAATCACTTTGAAATGCAGTTCAAAAACATTATCAAACGCAATCCTAGTGTGTTCAAAGACACCGAGAAATTAAAGCATTGATAATTTCCGAACAGATGTTTCAAACATTGTCAACCGGTACCTTTTCAACAGTCTTACTAAAAATATTGATAAAGGCACCGACTAGAACAATCAAATTTATTTGTTTTTGTTGGCATGACTCTGTCATTTGGTCACTATCTCGGAACAATAAAGGTAGATATAGAAGAGAAAGAAGGGACATGTCTGCATGTCTATAAATTCACTCCAAAATTGTCTCAAGCATAGATTTGTTTTTATGTCTTTGTCTTTGTCTCAGTCTCAGTCTCTCCACCCAAAACACACCTCTTTTGCATCTTTCTTTTCTGTTATGGGATATTAACAAGACGCAACCTAAGTCTACGTAGTAAGGGCGTTATGCACGTTATAGATTGGTAGCAAAAGGAAATAAAGGTTTATATATATATATGTGTGTGTGTGTGTGTGTGTGTGTATTAAGAGAGTTGTTTGGATTTGGTTATAATGCAGCCAGGATTAACAGGAGGGAGTGAGGATTCATATGTAAGGCATATGTTAATTAAAGCAAGAAATAAAGGGTGGCGTGTTGTTGTTTTTAATAGCAGAGGATGTGGAAACAGCCCTGTCACTACTCCTCAGGTACATTTCATGTGATTATTGTATTAATCTCTAGTTGATTTTGGTATCAGAATAAAGGAGTTGGTTTCAGTATGTGATCATTTTTACCAAGTAAAGGACTGATGATGCAGTTCTATTCGGCTTCGTTTATAGGAGATATGCATGAAGTGGTGGCACATGTTGGGACTAGATATCCAAATGCTAATTTGTATGCTGTTGGGTGGTCTCTTGGTGCCAACATTCTTGTCAATTATTTGGCTCAGGTAAGTATCATTGCTTGTTGCTTTATTTAGTTTAACGACTTCACTGGAAATGTTAATTTAGTCTTTAAAATATCCGCGCGGCGATAATGTTTATTTCTTGCTAGAGAATATGGTGATGCATATTGTTTTAGTATTTACATATTTTCTGCTCGTTCCAACCAATCGACACCTTTCAAGTCCGTGGAACTTTTATGGAAAAGATGCTGTAATCCTCTTCTAACTCAGAAAAAAAACTGTTAAAGTTGAAGGTTTTAGTATAAGGTATGAAAAGTATTTGACTTGAGATAGCCATCAAGAACTGGAATGTTGAGATTATTACTTTTGATGTAGATGTGGAAACATAGGAACCAATGTGAAACGGGTGCATCCATTGGAAGTTGGGGAGGGCATTTATTGAGTACAAGTGATGCTTGAGATGGTTTGGCCATATCCAACATAGATCCATGGACACATTCAATGAAGGAAACAGAACTATTGGAGCTGATTCCAACTAGTTTGAGATTGAAGTTTAGTTGAGTTGTGATGGGTTACTTTAGGCATTATCGGGGCGTCGAGGTCGAGTTCAGTTTAAGCTTTAAACTAAATTTTTCTGCGTGCTGAATATTTTTTCTGTTACGTTGAATTATGATATATAAATTTACTTTATGTTGATGATGTATTCATAAGGACCGGCTATTTTATTTTAGCTTCCTTTTCCTCTTCCATATTCTTGCACTACTGCATTTATTTATTTATTTTATTTTTCATTGTTTATTGCTTGCAGGAACCTCAAACAATAACTGGGGCTGTATCATTGTGTAATCCTTTCAATTTGGTCATTGCAGATGAGGATTTCCGTAAGGGCTTTAATGTTGTTTATGACAAAGCTCTCACAAATGCTCTGCGTAAAATTCTTAAGAAGTAATTCTGCAATAAAGTTCTTCCATCTCACAGCCAATATTTCTTCTTAGAGATGGTATCATAATCTCCTTTTTGTGCAGTCATGCTATTCTCTTTGAAGATATGGGTGGTGAATATAATATACCTTTGGCTGCCAATGCCAAGTCTGTCAGGGAGTTTGATGAAGGACTAACCCGAGGTAGATGCTCCTTGTAGAAGCAATTCTTCCCTTTTCTTTTATGATGGTTGTGTTGGAGATTATTATGGTATGCCATCAGCTCACACAACTTTTAACTTCACTGGGCAGTTTCATTTGGTTTCAAGTCGGTGGATGACTACTACTCTAATTCATGCAGTTCAGATTCCATAAAACACGTTCGCACACCTTTGCTTTGCATACAGGTATGCATCTGTGCCAATTTTGCAGATTACATGAACATCTTGTCTGATACTGTGCTGTAGAGAATTAATTGGGCATTGAAGTTTTGGTCATATTTTGTTGCTGAAGCCGTGGTCGAGCTACATTGATATGTGATATTTTTGGAACTTCTGTCTTGTCTTGTCTATACCAACTAGGCTCCTTGTATGACTGCTTATTTAGTTCCAGGTGAAGGATTTGCTGGGAGTGTGGATGTTTCTCTAACATATACTCACAATCTTACTTACCTGAAGCAATTGAGGACTTGACTTTTGGTTGTTTTTATTCACTATAAGGAGCTGAAAGCATTGTAATTCCCATGATACATCGAAGATTTTTTAGGAAAATAGATTTGCATGCATTGACTTGCGTCCCTTCTTTGATACTTGGATTTCAGAAAGTTGTGAAATTGTATTCAGATTTGGCTCAGCTTTGGATTTACTTGTAATTAATTTGCAGGCTGCCAATGATTGTGATCCTTCTTTGATATTTGGATTTCAGAAAGTTGTGAAATTGTATTCAGATTTGGCTCAGATTTGGATTTAGTTGT